TAACACTGGGTAACAACAACATGGGTGCAACACCTAAAACACTGGGAGTAGCCTTCCAGTAAATCTCTCCCCCATCTCCACTGGTAGTTATGAGCCAGTTGTACCATTGGCAAACAGATATTTCCTGTCCTCCTAAAGAGCAGCGGGATTGGCCTCCTGGATCCCGGAGATTAAATCTCAGGAGGAGCCTGTGCTGTTGTTGCTGGATACTGCCCTTGGAGCAGCTAGAAGGACCAGGGCATTGGGTGGGACAGGATCTTGCAGACACTCCCCTACAGCTCCTGGGCTTGAGACTCACTGTGGGATCAAGAATTTGCCTTTCCAGCTGGACACTCCCAAACCCACCTCATCTGGGTTTGTTAAGAGATTGTTTATTGCCAATCCGGTTCAGAAGCTCCATACAAATAATGCTCAGCCTCTTCCCTGCTCTTTAGCAGAGCTGCAGCCCTTCAGGGAGCTCCCAAATCATCCTCAGAGTTACCAGAAAGGCAGAGTTAGTCATGAAACCTTTCACTGATGGAGACAGATCCAGAGCATGGGTGAGTCCAGGGCAGCTCAGCAAGCACATGGCCAGGCTCGCTTCCAGGACAAGGCACCACTCTGCTCCCCATTTCCCTGACTGAAGCCACCTTCCCAAGAGGGAAATCCAGATCCTCTTTTCCAAATGGGGGACTGATGTCTCATGTCACTGCTGTGGAGGATAGTGGCCATCCTGCTGTTGACCCACAAAGCTTTTCCCATTTCCACTGCAGCTGCATGGAAATCAGCTCATCTAAACACATCCCATGGGCCACTGTTGGCTCAGCTGTCAGTAGCTGAGCTGCCCCACTCATGGCACATGTGGAGAGGCATCACCAGTTGGTATCTTCACCTTCCAGTGCCTTAAAAGAATAAGGAAATCTACACAGATCTGCTGTATTTGTGGTGAGACAAGTCTCTAAGCAATGTCCACACACACCCACCTCCACTTTCCCAGAAAACGCCTGTTACACCACTACAAAAAGCCCTCATTTATTGACTATTAATGAAAGCATTCTTCCAAGAGGTGGGAAGGAGCAGGAAAGCTGATGAGCCCAGCCCAGCTCAGCAGAGCCAGAGATGTGGGGTGTGCAGTGCCAAGCAGCGATTGATGCAATGTGAGCAGCCCTGAGCCAGCAAACTGAAGAGACCTGGGATGGGGAAAGAGGAGTGTAAATCCCTACAGTGCATAGCCAGGGCCTGGGAAAAAAAAAAAAATTTAGGATAAAAAGCGAAGGGCAAAGCTTGAGTCCTCCCTGGATCCACCATAGAGTCCACCATGAACCCACCACACTCCTAATGCTGCTGTCCCTGGTGAATCAGCCCTTTTTACCCCAAACTGTTATCTAGCAAAGGAACAAATCAATGGAATAATCTACTCCAGATTCATTACTGTCAGCTCACTCAGAATTATGTGTATTAATGACCAGATTATATCTGTTTATATAATACAAATTACCATAGAGTGACTGCAGGCATTGAAATGCTCCTTGTCTGTTTGACACACATAAATAATGGAGGAGCTCACGCTGCATTTGGTACACATGACTAACCTTTTATCCCTGGCACCCCAGTGCAGGCTGGAGAGACGACTCAGGTTTCAAATTCCTCGCTCCAGCTGTCATTAGCCTCTCCCAGCGTTGGCGAATCGGCAGCTAATTGATGTCCTTGTTGGACATTATTTTATTAGTCAGGCCTGGTGAGCATCAAGTGGAATTTTAATGCCCTTCTATCCTTGGCTCCACGTGGCCCTAAGTGTTAAGGCTTGTAAATAATTAACTGCACTCCAAGAGTTTTAGGAAAGGGCAAATAAGTTGTCCTGGGGGTTTGGGCTGCTCCAGCCCTCCCTGGTGTCGTGCCCAATGTGGGCTCCTGGCAGGACAAGCTGAGCTCTCCATGGGGTGTAAGGAGCCACCCAGACCTCAGTCCCTCAGTGATGGTTCACACCATCCTTGGGTGTGGATGGACCCCTGGGAATCTGCCATGGGGAAGAGGGAGAAGCAGGAGTTTGCAAGGAGAAGGTTCAAATGAAGGCTCAGTGCTGTGCCACGCTGCCCCGGTGCTTGTTGCTGCACCAAAAATCCATCACTGCATCGAGCTGTCCCCGACATGTGGTGAGGAATAAAGGATTTTCACAACCTGCTGTGAGCTTCTGGCTTGTCTGAAACCCCACGTGCCGGGTCACCGAGGGGTTGGGGCTCAGTGGTCACGTCACTTGTGGGCTGGGGCACTGAGCACCATCCCCAGCTGGGGACCCCGGGCACAGTCAGGCCCCTCTGGGAGTGTGGGCAGGGAGGTTTTGCTGTTGTGTGTTGCCTCAAAAAATGCTGGCCTTTTTTCTTCTGCTTTTTGCTTTAAAACTGGCCCAATAACCTGAAATTTGAGACTTGCAAATCAGGGCCAAAAAAATATTTTGAGTGAAACGTTGGGAATTGCTTACTTTTTAAAATTTCATCAATTCATTTGTATTTTCTTTTCTTTATGATTTTATGATATTTTTCCAGTCTAAGCCCAGACCTCCTGAGCTCATTGCTGGCAGATCCTTCCCTGTTGATCTCTTGGGATTTCTCCTCTTCCTTTCCCTCCTCTACCCATCACTCTGGAACCCCTCTGGGACAGGAATTGTCTGTTCCTACACAAGAACTCTGCATTTGTTCTCAAACAGAGCCCCCGGGGCAACACCATGATGCCAAAAATAAATAATTTAAAATCAAACCTTGATCAATCTCATGAGATCTCTTCTCCAGCCCTGCTTAGGTACTGCACGGGCTTTTCCAGGAGCTGAGTAAAAATGAACAGGCAACTTGGGCACACCAGGCTATTCATACATTAGGCAATAATTATAATGTATATTAACTGCCTGGGTGTTGAAAGAGTCCCAGCATGAGATTGCTTCCCTAATAGGAGACAGGAGTGATAAAAGACAGTAATAGATTGCCTTTCAGATGTGGAATTAAAAGCAGCAGCTCATTAGATTATTTTTTTTTCACAGCCTCTAATCGCAAGTAGTTTCTTTTCAAGTCAGATTTCCATTTCCAAGGCTAAGCTCGGCAACACAAACAGAAATTAAAGAGGATGGGGGGTCCTATTCTGACCTCTCTGGCATCACAGGAAGGGAGAGTAACTGAGCTCAGCTCGGCAGTGCTGCCCAGCCCACCTAGGCAGCCTTCTGAAGAGACTATCATCAAAAGATCAGGATTTGGCAGCTTTTTTTTTGCTTTTTTCTCCTTTTAAAAAGTAGAGGCAGCCCCTATATTTCCTTTTTGTTTTGTTTTTTTTTTTAAGAGATAGCCTAGAAGATAAGGCTTTTGAATTAGAAAAATCAAAAAAATTAAATTACTTCAAAGTAGTGGCAGAGATTCTTAAAAAAACCTGACATTTTCACTTACTGATTCAGTTTGTCTCTAGCAAGGAATGCTTTCCAGACAACTTTGGCTGCTGTTTTTAAAAGAGAAGTATAGAAAGCAGGAGAAGAAAGAGCTGGATTTTTGCTGAGCTGGGAAGCACAGTAAATAACATTCATTAGGTTCTCCCAGACAGTTTTAATGACTCAGAGTTTTAAATCGTTCATTCAACATCTTTACAGGCCAAAATATAGCAAGGTTTCAAACTCAAATCCTTTGGCAGGAGCTACATAATCCATAAAACATTTTAAGGGCAGGAATACAGGGGAGAGTCAAAAAGGTATAAAATTAGGCCAGGAATGGTGTTGCTGGTCAAATTTCATCTAAATCAGCAGCAAAATCTGCTTTTATCTGCACTGATGGCACCTAAAAATAAAGAAGTCTGGAGCACCTCTGTCTTCCCACCCCCAGGGCCAGGCACAGCCACATGCACATTTTGGCTGCCAGGCATGGGTTAAACAGCTTTCACCATCCCTGTTTTTAGTAGCCAAGCTCTTAAACATAGATGGAGACTTGGATCCAGCAGCACAAAAGCTGCATTTGTTTCCACTGTTCTGTCCACTTCACCCTGGATGGGAAATGAGCTCTTCAGCAAGTGAGGGTTTACACAAGATTCCTGCAGGAATCTGGGTCTGGGGTTTAGGGCTGGCTTAAGGCTCCAAAAGTGCCATGATCCACGTCCCTTGGGAGCAATCCTGCTGTGTCCTTCCGAGTGGGGTGCCAGTGCTGCTGGTCCTGGCAAGCAGGGCGGCTGGGAATTATCTGTGCAAGGTGAAGGCAAAAGCCTGCAGCTTGGTCACAGCTCTCCTTGAGGAGCATGAGATGCAGGGAGGGCCTGGAAGCTTTTCTGGAGCCAAGGGGCTGGTTTTGGGTGCATCCCTATGGGGTGTAGTCACTGGAAGTCCATCCCCTTGCCCAGCTTACTAGCTTGGGGTTGGTTATGGTGTTTTTTCCTGCCCTCAGCATGCTGTGGTGCCATTTAAAGGGCGTTTTCAGAGTGATTTAACACCTGAGCAGGCAGAGCCCAGCTGGGCCATCACACACAGGAGCTCTTCTGGCTGATGGGAGATGTGAGATGTGCAGGCCCTGCAGCAGCAGCAGCATGTGGTGACACGGACCAGGTGACAGCAGCTCTGCCACAAGCCAGAGCCCCCCAGAGTGACCCACGGTGTCACAGCCAACCTGCAGCCATCCCTGGATCCCAGCTGGTGCTGCTGCTGTGGGAGGGAGACACCTGGAGCAGCTGAGCTGGGCCGTTCCCAGACAAGGATTTGCACCCTGAAACCTTCACCTGGCAGGGAGAGAGCAGGGAGAGCGCAGGGTCTGGCCCGGGAGGGATGCAGCAATTGTGGTGGGGCATTAAAGGCAGCACCCTTGGCCCAGGAGCTGCCTACAGGGACACACAGAGCAGGCCCTGGGGAAAAACAACCTGTGGGGGAGATTTTAAGGACAGCTTTCAGCATTTTGGGAATTGGGGAGGCCAGGGGTGCTGCAGAGGCACCAGCTCATCTGGAGATGGCTGAAGCTGAGCTGATTTTTGTTGTTTTGGGGTGAGCACGATCAGGGCCCACAACTCACCTCCAGTGGTGTAAATCAGGAAGAGGACCCAGCACTGTCTGCAGGGCTTGCCCAGAGGTGATGGGAAGCAGGGAAGATGCTTTTCTGTGCATTGGTTTGCAAACAGGGTGTTGTGGTTAAGGACACATCCAGGAGAGGCCTGTGAGGGGAAGGAAGGAACCCGTGGGATTTCCAGCCATAACCACCTCCTCCACCTCAGCTGTCAGACAAGAAAGGGTTTGCAGGAAGGCGCTGTGGCCTGGGCAGGAAGGGGATTTCATCCCTCTCACCCCACACTGTGGCACATGTTGATGGTTTCCCTGGATCAGAGGTGCTCTGCCTGGGTCAGGTTTGCAGCTGTGTGCGTTCCACTGTGTGGATTATCCAGCACTCTCCAGCTGGATACCAAACCTGGGCTCAAAACCAAAACCCCACAAATCCAGAGCCACACTCCAGCCTGGCTCTGTTTCCCTGCTCTGTTTGTTCCTCCAGAGGCAAAAGGCTCAAGCCCTTTGACCATTTACTTCCCAGAAATAGGAGCAGGACCTTAAAGTAGCCATTAACGCCCCCTCCAAAAAGTCCTCATGGATTAATTTTTGTTCCTAAATATTCTCCCCCTGCTCCCCCTTCCTCCTGGTATCCTGTTGCATGGAGAGATTGAGCACAAAAAAAATGCACAGCTGAAAATGAAGCATCCCCCTGAGAAAACCAGGAAACCAACCCAGGAGTGAGCCCTTCCCTTCGCTGCTCCATGTGCTAAATCCATTGGAGATGAGCAGCTCAGTCCAAGAAGCCCCAGGACTTCCCACTCCCTCTCCTTTTTATGATTACCCAACCCTGCTACAAGCAGGCAATAAAATCCTGCAGCCTCATCAACAAAATTAGATCAATTCCACGGCTTCACTTCCGCTTTAAACCTTATCAAATTACTCCTCATCCTAAGGATCCTGGGGAATAGCTTTTACAGGGAGAGCACAAAATCAAATTAAAGATTCATTCAAATTAAAAGGTTCAATTTTAAAAGAGGCAGGGCCAGGCCAGAAGGAGCTGAGGAAAGTATTTTTTAATGAGCTCAGTGGCAGGAGTATCTTTAATAATAGATCTGATGGGGGAACCCTGGAGCTTGGCAGCACATGAGGCCTTTCCACACTGGGATAAATCAAAGGCACAGGTGTCCCCACACACTGATGTTGGCAATGGTCCCTCTGAGCCCCAGATTAAATTTTGGTGACCAGAAGAAAAATGTGGCATCGATCTTATGGATTGGCTGAGCCAACAGCACAAGGAAGAAAGCATCTAAGAGAAAAAGGCAAGATAAGAATGATGGAAGAAAATTAATTCTCTGGTAGGATGAGACCTCTGGTAACTTGGCTGTGATCCTTCCTGGTTCTTATTTGAAAACAAACTCAGCAGGACAACCAGAGAATCACAGAACAGTTGGGGTTGGAAGGGACCTTAAAGACCATCTAGGTTCAACCCCCTGCCATGGGCAGGGACACCTTCCACTGGACCAAGTTGTCCCAAGCCCCGTCCAACCTGGCCTGGAACACTTCCAGGGTTCCAGGGGCAGCCACAGTTTCTGTGGGCAATTTGTGTCAGGGCCTCACCACCCCCACAGTCAAGAACTTCTTTCTAATATCCAATCTAAATCTACTCTCTGAGTTTGAAGTAATTTCTCCTTGCCTGGTCACTCCATGCCCCTGCCCAAAATCCCTCTCCAGCTCTTCTGGAGCCCCTTTAAGCACTGGAAGAGGCTCTGAGGAGACCTCAGAGACTTCTCTTCTCTGGGCTGAACAGCCCCAACTCTCAGCCTGTCTCAAAAGCAGAGGCACTCCAGCCCCTGGAGCATCTTTGCTCCATCAAGGCCATGTCCTTCTGATGTTTGGTACCCCAGAGCTGCATGCAGCACTCAAAGCATTTTCTTATCTTAAATCACCCATCCACATCCATGGCAGAACTTCCCCATTCCCAGGACAGAGATGAGCTTCAATTTTCCTGCTATTTGTAAGGTAATATTGAAATTCCACTGTTCCAGGTCAGGGCTTTTCCCAAATCCTGCCTGTTCATAAATGGGTTGTCACATTTTTCACTGTAAAATTCTCATACCAGGATCTGGGTCGGGCTGAGCAGAGCTTGTGAATGCCAGGACTGCAGTGCCTCAATGGAGATGCTGATTCCAGCAGCAGGGAAGTTTTCCAAGGCAGTGCAGAAATTGAAGACCTTTAATCCGACTTTGAAATGCCTTCCAATTTGGGGTAAGCGAGGGAGAAGTTTGAGGGGGGGTTGGTGATGCCCTTGGATAGTGTCAGAGAGTCTCAGGGCAGCACCTATATATAGATGTGCATATAAATACACCTATACATATGCATGTGTGACACATTGCAATCAGGCTGTCTGCAGCTGCTGACAGGGGCAGTCCAACCCCTCCCTGGGAGGGAAAAATCAGCTGGACTCTGCTGAGAAAGGGGAGAAGGATACTGAAGTCCTCTCAGAAAACTAAGGGGGAAATAAAAAGGACTGGTCTGCAGCTTGAGGTTTTGGGGCACATTTTGCTTTTTTCTTTGTTTTTCTCTGCTTTCCCCACTTGCCTCTGTGCCTGGCTGAGCTCTTGCCCCTTCTTGCTGCCAATTTGCTTTCCTGCAGCCCTTTGCAATTCTCCAGGGCCTGGGAGACTCCTGGAAAACCTCTGCATGGCCAGGGCAGGAGGTGATGAGTTTGATGGTGCTGCCCACAAAGCAGCACCACCAGAGAGGGAGCCAGGGATGGAAGAAAAAACATTTGCAAATTTTTCTTAAGCCCCAAAGCCCTCCCTCTCTTCCCTCCCACAAGTGTTCCTGGCTCACAGAGTGCCTGTCTCCTTTGGCTGCCCCCTCCTCACTCCCCCACCAGCCCAGGAAGATGGGATGGAACCCTCCCTCTGTCAGGATGGAAATATTGGATGGTAAATTTTGCTGCAATTGACTGAATACAGCCTGGAGTGCTGGGAAGCATCCTCTGGGCAGGCTTGAGGCCACAGAGAAAGGCTCTAAAGTGCCTCAAAACCCCTGCACGGGTTAGAAACAGGAGGTTTGGTCATTTCCTCAGGGGTTGTTTCCCTGCCTTGCCTTGCCCTGGGGTGTGGTGTGGCTGCTCTCAGAGCTGGGCAAGGAGGGGTTTTGAGGGGTGTGAGGGCTCAGAGCTGGGCAAGGAGGGGTTCTGAAGGGTGTGACTGCTCTCAGAGCTGGGCAAGGAGGGGTTCTGAGGAGTGTGAGGGCTCAGAGCTGTGAGGCTGCTGAGTTGTTCACTTCTGACATGGGCCAGGGAGAGGAGTCACCCTCCCAGCCTTGGCTGTCAGATCAGAGCCCACTCATCAGGAATTTAAACAAAATTCTTTATTCAAAATTTGTGTTTTGCTTGCCATGGAAGCATTTTTGCTTAAAAAAAAATTTAAAAAGTTAAAAAGGGATACAAGGGCATATAGTGATAGGACAAGGGGTAATGGCTCTAAACTAATCCAGAATCCCTCAGGATGGCTGGGTCTCAGAAGTGCCAACATCTGACCAGAGCATCAAGGGAACAGCTTTCCCTGCTGATGCTTCAGTTTTCCAGCATGGCCATCCACTGAATCCTTGAGCTAAAGGGGATTTTTGTACTTGCTTAAGACATTTTTGTCCTCAGCAAAGCACTATTCAGGGCCCCCAAATGGGGAATAGTCAAATCCCCTGAGCTGGAATAGCTTGTTCACTTGTGCTGAAATTGCTGCACTCTAAAAACACATTTTTAAATGTTTCTGCTGGTGCATGGCAAATGCCCTCAATCCCCACTTGGAGTAGGTCCCTTGGAAAGCAATTTATGATGAGTTTTGTTTCTTAATTAGAATGTGGCTGCATAAAAAGTTATAAAGAGGCCCCTGAGGGTTTTTTTTTTACTTTTTACAGCAGCTCCTTGGGGGAAAAGGCCTTACTTTAAATCATGAGAAGAAATCCAGAGGGGTCTGGCACTCTCCTGATGAACTCAGGGAAGCTGATCCTAGGGGAAATGGCCAAACAGGCAGCTCAGGTTTTACCTTCACCCACCCCAAAATCCCCAAAATCCCCAAAATCCCATCCCCTGCAAAGGACCTGCTGCAGGTTGACTTCCACTCAAGGATGGTTTCAAAAGGCTCAGATTAGCAACAGATGCAGGAACACCATCAGTGGTGGCATCACACCCCCAACACTTCCCCTTTCTCTTTCCAGCTGCGTTGGCCAAGAGTAAATTGAAGACCTGCAATGAAAGAGAAGAGAAATTGTTTGTTTCCATTTCACATGGGATCTGGAGGGGTTCAGGGACTTCAGTGGTGCAGCACTGCCATTGACACCAGGCTGGTTGAAGACAGACTTTGTTAGGAGTCAACCACTGGCAAAAGCTCCAGGAGAGCAGCCCAGGTGCATTTTTCCATTGCTGCTCACAGAAGTGTCATTGAAGGGTCAGCAAACATTCTCCCAGCATTTTGATTTCTTCTTTTTATAGCCTCATAACCACTTAAAAACACTTCTTCTGCAGGAGCAGGGGGCCTCCAAAATAGGGAAGATAATAGTTATGAAAGGAAATAATTCTAGAGTAGGATGAGACTCCCAGTACTTGGCTGTGCTCCTGCCTAGTCTGGATCTGAAAACAATCTCAGAAGGAGATTCATGGAATCACAAAATGGTTTGGATTGGAAGTGACCTTTAAAGATCATCCAGTTCCACCCCCTGCCATGGGCAGGGACACCTTCCGCTATCCCAGGTTGCTCCAAACTCCATCCAACCTGGCCTGGAGCACTGCCAGGGATGGGGCAGCCCCAGCTCCTCTGGGCACCCTGTGCCAGGGCCTCAGCACCCTCACAGTCAAGAATTTCTTCCTAAAATCTAATCTAAATCTGCCCTATTTCATTTTAAGGCCATTCCCCCTTGTGAACCAAGCAGATTGCCTGGATCTACAGATGATGGAGGCAGAAGTCTTTCCTTGCTGGCTCCCTTTGGAGAAATACACACAGCAAATACGATCTACATAGCAGCTCCCATGCTAAACAAAAGGCAGGCAACAGCTCAGCAGTTTCCCTGCTCCTGAAGGTGGAAAATCTGTTTGGCTACACTCACCCACTCCTCGAGTTGTTGGCATGTCCCAAAGAGAGCATGATATTCCCGTGTTTCGTAGGAGCAGCATAACAAAACAGACAGACCGAGAAATCAAGGAGCAGCACAAAAGCCATAAATACCAACCACAGCTCCGAGCCAATTAGCGAAACAAGAGAAATCCAATTCAGCCTTGGGTTTTCACTCAGAGGCAGGAATGTCTCTGCTGCAGCCTGGGAAGTTCGCCGGCGCTGGCAGCTCTGAGAATTCACCTCGTGTAAACCCAGCAGAGAGATGAAAAATACGCTCCTGCTCCAGGCAAAGCTGCAAAGTGGCTGTGGAATGATTAATTTGGGGATCTATGGAGTAGCCAGAGCAGCCAAAGGAGCTCAGCTGGACATGTGAGTGGGTCAGTGGGGCTGCAGGAGCAGTGCCAGGCCTGGCCAGTTAGTGAGAGCCATGGGTCAGAACCAGCACTTGGGAAACAAGGCTGGAACCAAGGCTGATCTTATCTCCTCCTGTGTGAGGAGTAACCACACACAAAAATGACAGCACCCACACAGCTGTGGTACTTGGAAGGTCCCTGAATGGCAGAGAGCACAAGGAGCACCAAAATATCCTGGAAAAGACACACACAAAAGCAGGGACAAAGTGGTTTGTGGCAGTAGTTCTCATCCCTGATGGGGAGATGTCTTCCTGGCTGGGATTTAAATTGAGTTCCTGAGCTTCTGCTGGTTTAAAGTCAATGCCTGATGCCCCCAGCAGCAGCACTGTTTTGCCTTTATTAACCTGTAACCAAATAAAAGGTTTAAATCAGCTCTTACACAAAGTTTCTGTATCATTGTCACCGCTCTTTGGCTGCAGGAACCATGGCTTTCTGAAATTCTCTTTACAAACAGAAGGCACTGGGAACAGGCTCTGCTATTTTAGTTCATACAGACATTTTGGCATTGCAGCCAGTCCTCACCAGCAAGAGCAAATGTAACACTGGTGATTTCAATGCTGAAGAACAGGCTTTGAAACTCCTCATAATGCTGCTGTTTGAAAGCTCATCATCCTCAAAGATGGGGATGTTTGGGATTTAAAGGAGGTGGTGCTGCCCCAGAGAACTGCAGTGCCAGCCCACAGAGGGCAGAACAGCCCAGCCCCACAGGAGGGGATGCAGGAGCACAAACCCCAAGGCAATGTGAAGCCTGAGCATCCCAAGGCTGGGAGAATCACCCAGGGAGCACCAGCACAGCAGGGCAGAGGCAATGCAAAGCAGCAGTGAAATGGGCTGAGCTGGGCACCTCACCATGGCCTTGCAAGAGCCAAACCCACCACTAAAACATGTCCCAAGGGCCACATCAGAGGCCTTTTACATCCCTCCAGGGATGGTGATTCCCCCACATTCCAGTGCTTGACAAGCCATTCCATGAAGAAATCTCCCCTAGTATCCAACCTAAACTTCTCCAGGTGCAACTGGAGGTTGTTTCCTCTGGTCCTGTCACTTGTTACCTGGGAGGAGAGACCAGCCCCCTCGTCACTCCAACCTCCTTTCAGGGAGCTGTAGATGGATGGTTTGCTCCATCCTCTGACAAGCACAAACCCAGGGATTTTGAGTCATTTTCTGCTACCTATGGTGATGCCTGAAGGATGCAGGGAAGGGCCAGATGATGTTGGCAGGGAGGCAGGAGCAGGAGGTCTTTCTGCAGCCCTTTCTCAGCTCAGCTGGAACAGAGGGTGGTGGGGTTTGGCACATCCTTTGGACATCACCTGTGAGGGGTGCACAGGGACAGAGCACACCTCCCTCCTCAGCCACCATCATCTGGAACAAATCCCTCAGCAGGGACAGGAACAGAGGACAGGGAGCAGCAAGAGAAATTATTTTATTTAATCTTCACTACATCAGGAACCTGTGTGTAAGCTGGCTTTGCAGCACCAGCACCTTTAAAGCAGCATTTCCTGGATGAGTGAGAAAGCTCTCTGTTAAAGAATAAACTTAACAAAAGACAGATTAAAAACTGTCTGTATCTTACTGAAAAACCCAGATTCCTAATTTCTGCATGCACTGGCTGCCCTGAGGCACAACATGTAATGCATCCACACACACCAGCACAGTCTGAGGGCTGAAATCCTACACCCACCAGTCTGAGGGAGGAAAAGTTATCAGATTAAAGATCAGCAAGATTTAAGGACTGGTAGAGCATTTATCACAGTGGGTTTTGCACTCATCTGCTTTATGTACTCAACCAAGATTTACTTGGAGTTGTCACTATTTGGGCTCTGAGGAGGAAACAAGCTGACTCCTTCTCCTTTCTCATCCACTAAGACATCTGAGCCTATGCCTAAATTTACTCAAGAGAAGGGACTCATTGAAGCTGGTACAAGAATTCTTGTATTTAAATGTAGGGATGTAAATGTGGAGATTTAAAATATCTTGTGAAATTGAAGCTTGGGCACAGTAACTCAAAATACTTCTATGTTTCTAAGCTTGTCCCCAGCCCTGCTCCTTTCAGAGCTTCTTTCACATTACTCAAAACATTTGCACACTTAAGTTTTCCATTTGGTGTGGATACATTTTCCATTGGGTGTCAGTTTTACCAGCAGCAGCAGCAGACACCCAAACAATTCAAATACTCCCAGGGACATGGAAAACCAGTATTGGATCAGGTGCTTGGGTTGCATCAGAAATTTATGTATTACATCTACCTAACCCTAAACTAGCCAACATCCAAGGACTGTTTTCTTCAGGCCATAGAATCGTGGAATAGTCTGAGTTGGAAGGGACCCACAAGGATCACTGAGTCCAACTCCAGCCCTGGGGAGCCTGTTCCAGTGCCCAGCCAGCCTCTGAGAAACTTTTTCCTCATATTCAAGCCCAAACCTTTTCCTAATATCCAAAAACCTTCATCCTAATATCCAGATGTTTCATTTGCCATGTGAAAATTAATTATCACAGTTCAATTCCCATTATATCAAGCACCTTTAGGGAAAAAACCTAATCCAAGATGGTGTTTCTGCAACCTAGCAGGATGCAGAAATAGCTGTAAAAATAAGAGATGGAGCACAACTGTCCTGCATCATCCATCTAAGTTTGTGCCACATTTCTGGTGGTGGCCATGGCGCAGGGAAAATCCAACCTGTGACTGCTTTGCATTTCCTGAAAACCACATCAATTCCCAGCTCATTTCTTCATGTGAGCACTGCCTTTCCAAGCCATCTCAGAGCTCACAAAATGCTCTTGCAGAGAGGAATGGGCAAGGAACTTTTTAAAGGCGTTGCAAGAAGACCATGCCTGGAAACCCAGATTGGTTCTTCCCTGCTTCTCTTTAGGAGCAGCATTCACAGGCTGCATTTCCAAGAGGTTTTTGGTTTTACAGCTGTCATGACAGCAATTTTCTCAGCTTTGCAAGGTTCCCTCATATCCTGTTTGAACTGGCTTATCTCTGTTTAGAAGCCATGTTCCTACACGGCGTTTTTCAGGAACAGATGTTCCAGCTGATCCCGCATTGAAGCACTCAACATATTTCACGGCCCCATTTTGAAACAATTAGCCTGTCACTGCTGAAAGAAACTTAATGCTTGGCTACTTGTTCACTTTGGAAATTTAAAAAAAAAAAAAAAGATTAATAAAAAAAGAAGACATCAGGAATAATCCATGATTTATACTTTTCCCAAATATGCCAAGATGCTCTAAATTTACAGCTCGTTAAAATGGCAGCATGTTGTGTTTCAGCTGCTGGTCCCAAGATTTGTTATCTGGAGAAAAAGATCTGTGGGCAGAGCAGCTGGCAAAAAAAAAAAAAAAAAAAAAAGAAGAAAAAAGAAGTAAGAAGAATCTTTATTTACACAAATTAAAAGCTAATGGGTTAGTGAGGAGTGTTCAGAGCAATGGGATCTGTAGCTCTTGGGCCACAGGCTGCTGTCAACACACCCAATTTACTGTGCAATACAAGGCAGCCTAATTAAGAAGTCCTTGATGGAGTCACAGAATCCTAGAATTATTTGGGT